GTACACACATGGGTCTGTACACAGTTGATACAATACACAGTTACGTCTATACATAGTTGCACCTATACACAGCTGATCTTGTATACAGTTGAATCTACACACAGTTGACTGTGTACAGTCCATAATATTAACAGTTGCTTCAGTACACAGTTAAGGGTGCACACAGGTGTGTCTGGTAATAGCTGAGTAGAAGATGAATTATGTTGACAATTTGGACTGTACACAGTTAAACCTATACCCCGTTGTATATGTGTACACAATAAAATATGTTAACAGTTGAGTATGTACACAACTGAACCCGTATGAATCTGTCATGCAATTGTGAGTTGTAAGTTAAACAATAAACGGACGTCACACAATGTCACGTAATGTGTCGTATTTCCAACGTGACTAGTTTTGATTAGTTTGAAGAACGCAGAAACACAAATATTCACTGATGTCTTTCCCGTATGTAAATTGTAACGTGTTTATTTATGCATTTTGATCGTTTTGGCATACAACTCTCCACACAAGATCTTCATACAAGAAACGTGAACATTTACTTCTTGTGTACCGCATGGTACATTCCTATCATTGTTTGCACTGGTAATATGCAGCAGCTGGGGTTCTCTCTACGGGGCCTAGTCCCTGGGGAGCCAAAAAGTCCAATTTACGGCTGATAGAGGCTATGATTAGTTTTATTTGTCAATAATTTAGTTTATCCAAAAGACATGTTGATTTCAACATGCGACTGACAGGTGTGACCGGAACCCGGAAGTGGGCTGAACTGAGGGAATCTGTCTTTGACAGGTGAGTGACGTGTTCGCGTAAACAGACAAGCAAGCAAGCAGGTATTTACAATGGCGGCCGGGGAGATGACAGATTTCATCATCAGCAAGAAACATATTGCACTGGTCGGGAAATCGAGTTCATTACAAATTGTAAACTAAAGAAATATAATTTCGAAATTATAAACAAAAAAATGTTGTGACAGGTTGAGGAATGTTGGATCTATGATAATCAGATAACAGGTATTACTGTATATGAGTAAAACATAATTCTTTTGCATTTTTGGCGAGGAAATCATAAAATGAAAAAGTCAAATGTACGCGTTATCAGGCTTTAGGAAGAATCATTTTTTCCAGTACGATGTCAATATTTACCAATTCCTACATTGTTCCATTATGTTATCATTCTTTATCATTTCCTACATAGTTACATTCTGACATCGTCAGTTATCAATTCCTACATTATTCCATGATGACATCATCATTCACCAATTCCTTCATTGTTTCATTGTGTCATAATCATTTATTAATTCATACATTGTTCCATAGTGACATCATCATTTATCAATTCCTACATTGTTCCATTATGACTACACTTTTTATTAATTCTTACATTGTTCCACTATGACATCATTTTTTATTAGTTTCTACATTGTTCCATTACATGACGATCATTTATCAATTCCTTTATTGTATCATTGTGACATTATCATTCATAAATTACTATATTGTTCCATTATGACATCATCATTTATCAATTCCTACATTGTCTCATTATGTCATCGTCATTTATCAATTCCTACATTGTTCCATTATAATATCATTATTTCCCCATGACCACCAATTGTACTCGCATTCTTACGGATCAGTTTCTTCAGCATATGAATCCGAATTTCTTCTCGGATTTGCCAAGTCAAAACAAGGTAATTATAACTTAAGCATTAGGTATATCGATGATCTGATATCGTTTAATAGTCATGAAATAGCCAATATCCTTTCACTGCTTAACCCACCTGAACTAGAAATAAAGGAGACCAGTGAAACAGTCTCATCTGTTTCATATTTATATTCATGCATAAAGACTGTATGACAAGAGGGATGACTTCAAATATAAAATAGCCAAATTTCCCTTTATGTTGAGCAATATTCCTGCAGCTCCAGCGTTTGGTGTTTACATGTCACAACGTTTGAGGTACAACCGAGCATGCCCCTTCTATCAAGGTTTCAAAGAGCGTCATACGACTCAAGCTCAGAAGTTGCTTGATCAAGGTTACAACAATCAAAGCCTCAGTAAATCTTTTAAAAAGTTAAATGGTAAACATGTGGAGGAGATTCCAATTTTTACGTCTCATTGACTAGAAAAATGCACGATGCAGTGCCCTGTTTTGACTTGTGTCAATTGAAAAATTGACTTGCCTTTGCATGTGTTTGAGCCGGGTGCCATGGGCGGTGACGGGTACCTTACCTAACACTATTTCACGGTGTTTCATAAACACATGCTATTGATATAATCGAAATGGTACAATCGACTCTGCTTTTAGAACAGATTTCTTTATAGGAATATGGTTTTGTCGGTTTTATTTATCAATTTTTACACTGTTCCATTACGACATCATTATTGAGCAATTCCTACATTGTTTCTTAAAAAACATTAATCAACATAACATTCACTTCTCTAGATGCAGCTGGAATTATGTAATAGAAGCCATCAAAGATCCGTCTGGTATTAATACCATGTCATACAAACATCTCCTAAAAATCAAAATAGCTTCACCTGTTTATTCATGCAGTCACCGTATACTCACGGAAACTCATGAACAAATGCATTACGTTCACACAAGCATGAGAAAACAGCAGTACAGCTGACGTTATACAATATTACACGGTGTAGGTATTCTAATAAACCAACTGCCAAGCATGTTTTCCTCAACGATAAGGTTATGGAAGGCGCCTTTCATGACCTGAACAGAAGACAAAAAAGTCCAGATTCCAGTTTTATATTTTATATTCAATTGTGTGAATGCTCACAACCAGAAAACATGACGGACATGGTATTGCAGAGGTCACGTAAACTGTGTGACAAAAATAAATAATAAATAACGATCACTTATTTAAAAAAGCTTTCAAGAAACATGAACAAGACAATAACAAGTACACTTTCTCCATGAACAATGATCGTGGCACTAATTACTCGCCATATGCATTGATATACCAAACACAGTGAAACCTCGTGAGTCAGGCGAGGACGATACCGTTCACAGTGAAATCGCCCGGATTCACATATGTGCGGATCAATGAATCGTGGGTATGTAAAATATAATTTTAATCACTGTATTTTAATCGCTTCCAACATTATTCGTCCGGACTGGCGAGGTCACGGACAATGGGGTCCGAGGTTTCACAGTGCATAGCTGACACTAGATATTTGGAAACATTCAACTACTGGGCCCAATAGTTCCTATACTCTGGTGAGTATTATATGAAACATATTCTCGAAAAAACATTACTAGTTCTAGTAGCGGCCAATAACATTCGTTAATCATCTATAAATGATGTCTTGAGAGCGTAATCTTTTTTTTCAAATTCCGCCCTTTTTGTAGCAAGAGGTCTGTTAAAGTATCTTATAGATTTGGGCGTATCATTTGATTTTCGGGGGGTACGGGATATATTTCTGAAACGTAAACACCTGTTGGCAATTCCTACATAATTTGCCTCTTCTGCTCAGAGAGACAATTAAACTCGTGTTTGAATCTCACACCCACACCCACACCCACACCCACACCCACACCCACACCCACACCCACGTCCCGCACCCGATATGGTCACTCTCTAACCGACCTCAAACTTTTCTATTATGAACTATTGTGATATCAAAAGGACACTCTATATCACATCCGAGATCTGAGCCTCAACACCCGAGTTATATCAACAAGATTCTGATAAGTAAAAACACAGACTTAAGAGTTGTAGTTTGCCTTCCGCACGCATCGCACTGAATAACCGATAACGCGAACTTCTTCCTCCTACACTATAGAATACAAACTTGCAGTTTTTAACCTCACTCTAACGTGCAGTGACGCTGTTAGGATAGCTCTACTTTTCAGCATGGAAATAAATAGCAGGCACGTTCCGCACAGTCAGTGATAAAACATATTATACAGAGATCAGCATCATGCTCGTGAAGCACATGTATCCTCTATTACCAAGCCCTGCTTATTGATGTACCCATGAACACAGACGCATCGTTCTGTTTCAGAACTCAATAAGAACACTGTACCATTGTATTACTAATGTTATACGAACTATAAATGAACACGATGCTTTTCTTGGGCAATAAGGTGTTTATCCCATCGGTTGACCTCACAAAGTTAATATTTTCATGAGCGGCGCAAAATCAACTTTCTCAGATCACGAAATACGATTACAAGTGTAAGATATCATTTGACAAGAAAAGCCATCAGTTTCTGATCTTATTCTGAAAACCATAATGCCTATAAGGCAGAAGGTATTTCCGGCAACAAAGTGTTATTAGACTCAAGTGAAATATCTATTTGATATGTTTAGATGATATAGTATTTTATCATATACTGGGTAGGTTTCTCGGCAGGATAAAGCCAACGGATAAAAACGATATCCGTGGGGCCATATGCGTAAAGAGATACAAATATCAAAGGTCAAGTAGGGACTACTTTCAGTGTTTACAAACAAACATGGCGTCGCCCTTGTCTTTCGGCGATCGAGTCAGAATTAACCATCGGGAATCTGGATAAACCAAAGGGATAATTGCTATCATTATCAAAAGAACAGTCTAATATACTGAAAATCAGTGTCTAACTGTGATGTAGCTAAGGTATTTTATAACTTTTGGCAACTTTGGAGATATAAATTTCGAAACAATTTTGCGAGGGCACTAGGCCTAGCCAAGCGGGATCAGTAGCCATATCTGGGCTTGTCAACCTCTGCGGCTTGAAACCTTTTCCAGAAATTAAAATGGTTGGATTTGGCCGAAATATGTTTGAATTGTTACCGTGTTTCGTTTTTTCGCTGTGTGTACATCTGACTACACTTAACGTTATGACAGGACAGACCGACTGTCAACAACGTCTGAACGTGGCCGTGACGTCTCATAGACTAGGTCGAGAGTAGCTTCCCTTTGACAAAGGGCAGTTACTCTAGCGGACAGACCGATGGATTGCCGCGAAAGGCAAGTAAAGACAATTGTTGTTTTGCGTATATGTATATTCACCACTGTATAAGAAACAGATTTTAGTTGGAGCTATATTGGCTACTGTCACTGTCCCACTGACACATCACTCACCCTGTGACGTAATAAATATTAATGCGCACCTTCCAGGAAAATCGCAATTCGTCAAGGCTCGCCAAATACAATGTTTATTCCTAATGCAGGATATTTACCATCCCCAAACACACTCGCGTGATAACCTCTTTTTATCACCAAATACCTAAAAATAGTTATTTTGAAAAGACGAATCCCGTTAGTTCAGACTTTGAAAAAATCATCTCAAAACATCTCATTAAAAAACTAAAATATCAAACAGTAGTTTTACACCTCTTTTGCAACATTCTGGCAACAAGATGGCGGGTTACAGCACGGAGGGGCTCTCCACATTGTGCTGGAATACCCTTTGGAATTGAACACTTTACAACCTCGGCATCTTGTCCAGTCCAGCAGGGCTTCTCGTGGCCTGAAGCAAACCTCACACACTCACTCCCACCCGCACTAATGCTAACACTCACACTCATTCTCAACTAATATGCCCTCTCTTACAAAATATATAAAAATCACCCATGTGTACATAACATAATATTTTGAAAGTCAAATTGACCATCTGATTATTTCACTAGCCATTTATTGATTTCTGTGCGGTGCAGCGATAAGTCGTGCATGCAAGTGAGAATAAATAACAATACCATAGAATGACCACTGAAGTAGAAAATTCAATAACAACTACACGGACAGAGCAGAATAATCACCAATGACATAAACTATTAAACAAGGTACCATGTGCTTTGAGCAAACATTTTGAGCAACAAAAACAACGTCATGACCATTAGCGAAATCTGTTAACGTTGGCTTTTAAAAACATCGTGCGGACTTGGTCCCCATGATCCAATATATAAGGTTGTTTGTCATAGAAAAAAACAGTGATTTACACGCACATGAAAGGTGATATTACACATAAACAATGCTGGGGACATCTCGTATGACAATGTTTCTGATGTGGTATAGTTGCATTGGCCATCTTGATTCAATCCAAACATATAACAAAGCAATGACAGTACAATGCATGGTCAGTGATTCCATGAATGGCGGTATCTATTTATCATGACAATGATCACTGAATGTATAAAAGATAATGAGACTGAATTATAATGTTATTATGTTTCAGTTATATAGATATATATAATTTCGCATAAGGCATTTTGGTGGATAGAAATCCTTTATAGATAATATTGTCCCTGCCAGATTCAATGACCATCAAGGCAATGAAAATGAAACACGTAATGCCGCGTTAGAGGAAAGCTATAGGCTATAGGTGTCTGTATTTAAGTATGTCGTCAGTACATGTTTTAGAGTACGAAGTTTAGAAACGGTCTTCCCTCTTAGTCATTTACGCCTGTAAACAAAGAAATAGTTTGTCTTTTCCCCAGTATGCTTGAAACCAGGAATTATTATATAAATTCATATTTTCAATGTTGACAAAGTTCCATTTAAATATTTCTGAATTAATGTTGAAGTGGAGACATCTTACGAGTCTGTTCATAACTATTGCATTACATAAAATACAAATCTAGCTATCACCATATGCTAATGCCAAAAAGACTAAGGTTAATTGCCTTCACAACCTTTTGAACGATAATGGCAAAAATATGGTAACTCATTTTTTCCCGATCTCCAAACGACACATGACTTGCTACTTTCTAATCTGCATTTACAAGTGATGTTTCGAACACTATGTATCCATCCATGTATTTGTTTATGTGTTCGCGTGTCATTACCATGGACTGACGCAAACAGAGATTACATCGTTGACCCATATCAGACCCATATTTTGATCCTATCCTAATTTTCTATCCAGATAGGGTGTTTCCAAATAATTCAGGACCTCGATCCAAATATGTTGGAACAAAGACAAGCCTCAGCAAATCGTTCAACCCAAACGTTAACATGCCGTCGAGAACCTTTGGGATGCGTCTGCGAGTTTAATTAACCTTAGCAGGGGTCCCCGCCTGAAAGAGCTTCCCTGCACTTGGCCAGGCTTAACAATACTGCTGTTAACAGATGGCAGATTTATGGAATAGGCTTGATGCCGGACAGGGTTGTATCTCTCAAGGTTGCCTCGGTATACGATGTATTAAACTGCTCATTTATGCCGAGAAGAGAGGATGTTGGTGTCTATCACTCAATACTGAGCCAGAAGGGGAAGAATTACAACTATGTAGACGCAGCTCTTGTAAATCAGTGAGCTCGCAGTAGGGTTTCACTTCCTAAACGACTTTGGGGAAGTACCATTTTACAGCTAATGGTTATCATAGTTTAAACTTTGTCTTTATGATTATCTTAATGCATTAGAAGGTAATAAGAATACTTGGCTTTTTTTCGATAACAAATCTTTCACATGAAATATGTTGCTGATTTTGCTGAATTTCAGTATAGTTTTGGGAATAATTTTTCAAAAGATGCCCTTTGTCTGTGGTTGGGTATCTGATGAAAGATATCAAATTGTAAGAGATTTGACATTTAGAGCACAATATCGGCAAATCTTTTAAATTGAATGCATCCCGTTTATCTGTTAATCTATTGCCGCTCACGTGCAGAAACAACATCGTTCAAAGAAGTCATAAACATGTCTAAACTGTTTTATCTCGCTGGGAATTTGATCACATTTCATTGGACGAAACTGTTATTATAAGACAAATACTATAAGAAAGAGCATACGTATTTACTGTGTTATTATCGTAAGTTGTGACTGCCTTCAGATTTCACAAGGGCCAACGTACGATACCCAACTTTGTACATGTAGTTCTGAGGCCTACAGGCGAGCAACGTGATGCAAGCTAACCAATATATAAACTTATCTGTGAAACACGTTGCGATATATATGACGTACCAATAAGAAGTTAGTGTTTTTTAGCATGGAACTGAGTTTGTGTACATTATGCTACGTCTTATCTCTTAATTGCGTTTCGGCTTTTATCAGAGGCAATTCAGCAGAAATCCCCTGATACGAGCTGAGGCGAGAACTATCCATAATAATAGGAAAGATAAAAGTTTCAGTCTCTGCATGAAAAAGTCAAAATTGATATGAGTTTGTTATCGAGCCTAACATTACATACACATTACAGCGAAAATAGGAATACGTGAGGACCAGGGCAAAGGAAACGTTTTTTCTAATACAACAATTTTCCTTATTCGTAATGGTTGGCATCAAAGAGTAAATGTAATGAACATGTGGATCTCAAAGCGAAAATAAAGATGGACATATCTGTAATTAGTTCCTGACACAGCATCCTCCTTACATGAGGCCAGTGCTGACGCTCTACAAACTGGGTATTACTGACTGAATGTGTACATGTAGCATTTTAAAACATAGTGCACTTCTTCTAGTGACGGCGTATTCAATATGGCGTTCAGTTCCCATCAATTTAAATTTCGACCCCCGTCTGGATACGATATCCATTATAACACAGGATTATGCAATAAATGTCTGAATCACTTAGCTACGAAGAACATGTCACGATTTACTGGTGCCATGTGCTGATAGAGTCAACAGTTATCTGCATATACACCAAGCTTAGTAATATAGGCTTGGCTCGCTTGGGAAGCCGTTCCAGCAGCTTTGTTAACCCATTAACCTCTGGAGGCTACTCTAGACGCCATGGCCACCATGTGGGGATGTGGCAATCCCGTACACTTTATTACCCTGGATATCACACTACAATAATCAGACGACTTTCCTATCGATCGAGGTTTGAATATGTTGGTCGGATATGGTGTTCGTGAACTGACACCTGTGTTTACGTGATCAACTTCAATTACAGGACTGTTGTAAGACATGAAGGGGCAGAGATTAATTCACTGGATATTGTTAAGTGTCATCAAAACTTTCATCACTGAGGGGTTGAACGTTGAGAAGCTATGGTAAAACAGTGCGGAGACAAATTTCTTTTAAATAGCTGGAGTTGTAATTATTGTAATCTACACAAAACCGAAACAATGCGTGTTCTACCGAAACGATCTTCTGTAAGGGCTTAATGTATAGTTAGCGAAACACCTTTGAAAGTTACTTCTTTATTTACAAGATAATTCAGGTAATTAGTTTAATCTGAGTTGAAAATTGGAAAGTACCGAAGTACCTTTGCAGTAACATTGCAGCATGGTATACACAGCCCCCATAACGCTTAACACAAACATTGCCAGAGCTATCGGCTTAATAACGGCGCATTCTTCCTGTCTATTCCCCGATCTTCAAACAGTTTAAAATATATTTAGAGAGAGTTCAAATTGGTGTTTTGAGATAATTGCCAGAGCGTTGCAGTGCCGAGAACAGAATCTAATCTTTAAATGACATTAGTTAGGAATCTCAAACAACCCATTAGAACGCATTTATGGGGATGCGGAAGCTATAAAATGGCATTTCCTTTAGGAAAAACCTTACCAGCATAGACAGCCTAAGTTACATTAATCCCATTTAACAGACAAAACATGAAAATCTCGGTAAACAACCAAATAGTCTGACTAGGCGGAGGTATATAATATTTCTACCAATATTCAGTTTTCCTTTAGAGTTTTATGAACGAGGAATTAGAACGGTCTACTACAACGGTCACTGATTGAGCATTTTTCAGATGAATAAAGGGCATGATTAGAATGGCTTCATAAATATATACTTTAAAGTAAGAAAAAGCGAAACATGTTGATATTCCTGTATTTCACAAATTGATTATTTTACCCAGTGCGTATATTCACACTTTACGGTAGTACTTTGGATTTGGACAAAAGGACTCAAGTAATACATCATGGTGGTACTGTACATATAACAATACAAAACAAATATAAATATAAAATGGCCATCACAAATACAAATATCTCAGAACGTGCTTTTACCTTGTTAAGCAATTATTCAAACATTTAACAAAGGGTCACTGTACATTTACGAGGCAAAGCTGACAAGACAAATCTCTTACACAGATAGTCAATAATATCACATAAATATGTAAAATGACCCCACCAACCTTTCGTTCGTAACGCTCCATATAAATACAAAATAAATATATTCACAACGTATAAATCCCTTCGTATGAAACTACAAACATTCTTGAATTTCCTCTTCTAAACAACTTACAGGTTGTCCATTCACGGCCATGACTGAGAAGGAATGCGGCCGAGGTAAGCCTTTTTTAATGTTGACAATAGGGCTACCTTGAAACCTCGTGGATGCCACTTGAAAGCTATGTGTACGCCTCATTGGGCCCCGGACGCCATTTTGACACTTCCGATTTAGATTAGAAAGTTTCTGGGTAGAAGACGACTTCCGGGTTAATGATTTTACACTTCCTCTTCTCCTGTCTTTGTAACACGCATGTTGGAGCCTCCGTCGAACATAGCGATAAAACGACGCCCGCAATATCTTATTACGTAGGCCATAAACGGAAGCATTGGTACATGGTGAAGCTTGGAACAGGGTTGTAGCTACGGAGACAAACGTACTTTCAGGCATATTTTGTGTTATGACGGCGTACATCAGTACAACAGCGTATGGTATGTATGTTAGAACAAATGATCCCACAAGCTGAAGAATTGTTCCCATTGCTTTTGTACCTCTCATTGATAACGAGGTGGTGGCATTAGTAGGGGCAATAGGCGCTTGAATCACACTGACCATTCGGAGCATTGTTGCAGCTATTCTGCTGCTTTGTGTCCGAGCTATTTGGAATATATGAGCATAACAATAAATCATTATACAGAATGGCAGAAAAAACACTGCACAGACATATACGATGGTGTACCACCTGCCTTCAGAGTGGGAAGGGTTAACAGCACAGAGCCCCATAGCAGGGTGGAAGATGAACTCGTTAGCTCCGAACAGCGGCGGAAGTGAAAGGGTTAAACTTGAGACCCAGAACACTGAGAAACACGTCGACATCTTGACGAATGTGGCGGTGAGAGAATGGTGAAGGGGTGAGGCGATGGTCTGATACTTATCCCAGCTTAACGCTGTGATTGTCCACACAATTACACATGTAAACACGGAATTAAGAAACGCGTATATTTGACACACAACGTCTCCGCCGTACCATTCTTTAAGGAATATAACAACAGCCGAGTACAACGTGGTAGTGAGGGAAGCCGCCAGCCCAACCGCCCCGAGATGAACCAGTAGGATGTTGCGGACATTTCGGAGTCGCCTGTTGGGGACAATAGCAACAATCATGAAGGCATTGAAGGCCGTCCCCAGTACACACACCAACGTGAGAAAAACACCCCTGAGAATGTATAGTGTGTTTGGGTACCATAAATATCCTATGTCTCCTTTGGTTCCGTTCTCCAGTGAATATTCCGTGTGGTACTGTACTTCAGTTGCATTTCGTAGCATGTCCACATTTACAACTTGATCACAGACCGAGGCACGAATGAACAGGCTCGCTTATCTCCCTCATACTTCTGCGAGTCGTTCCCTAACAGCAGACCGAGGAGAGAATTTCGTATTCAATCAGAGTCTACCACTTCCATATATATATAGCTGCTCCACTGAACTCAACGCACGCCGGAACACACCTTCCCTCTGTGGCAGTGGTCGTTTCTGCGAATTGCTAATGCATTGTCTGCGAGTTTCATCTATCATGCCTCACTAACTCGTGCTCCTATAGTAGTAGCGTAGTGGTACAATCCCTCTCTTCGCCTCGGGCTTGTAACTCAATACCACGTCTTCTATTTGTAGATCCACCAGTGTTGTGAGGACGGTAGTGCTACGAGGAGACAGGTCTTTAAAACTCACCTTTTACTCGCAGCAAATCACAGTCCACGGCTTAATGTAGCGCAAACTGACCCGGGATAGGAAGTGGCAACAGGCCCTGCTCTCGGAGCGCCTTCCAGTATACCTCGTCAAGCTGATTGCGTGAACGGCTGCCTGAAGGTTCTTTTTCACCTCGTAGGGTAAAAGTGTAAAAGATTTCTCCGATAGAAGTTGTAAATTCGCGTGGTGGTGGGGAAGTATTTCAAAGTTGATCACACACAAGTCAAAGATGAAGCTGGTTGAAATCACCACTCAGCTGATGAAGCGGACTCGCTTTTCCCCCAGTACACAGATGTTTTAAACATTTATGTTAAAGGTAAACATTTGAAGGAACAGGTTTCCCTACAACGTGTGAAGCAATCGGTTCTGTCTTGACGTAGATCACTCTGTCGCTACTCACAGACTTTAATGGCCATCCCGTGGGGTGTGGAATCCTCTGGGCGACCTACGATGACTCGTGGGCGGAGACTGGACAACACTGGCCGTGAAGTAGCCACAGTAATGGTATTGAATCTGAACAAGGTGGTGATTGCCTAGCTGCATCTCCCACTCGTGTATAGGGCAAATCCATCAGCTGACAAGCCAGTTCTATAGTCAGCCAGTTTGCTGTCATAAATACGTAGTGCGCGTTCTTGCTTCTCGGCGGTGAACATGTACACACGCATGTCGGAGTTCAGAGATGTGTTAATTAGACGCTTTTCATGCAAACCTTCTACGAAGACGGCTTAGTCTCAATCTTGAATTCACTACAATACACGTGTTTTTGCTCACAAATTGTTGAATTGATATCCAAAACAAAAAGAGAATCCTATTCATCCGTCTCTGTACATTAATCAGGTTATTGATTTCAGCCAGTGCTAACTGGACGAAGCTACCGTCACATCTAGGACATGTTTGCTGGGAGGAGTATATACATAGCTCTGATAGCTCACAGATCCGGATCTAGAGGGATGATATGTTAGGTCTCCGCTCCTCCCGTCAGCGACTGTACTAAATGGATGTTTTATTACCCTTTTCTTGTAAGGTGTCCTAACGAATCAGCGTCACTGATTCACATTTTTATGCACGTTATTAAAATCTTATAGTTGACGTTTCAAACTGCTTGCTCCCATCTTTTTTCCACACTTTTTTGGTGATGAAGGACGTCCTGTTTATTTACGCATTAACCAATCAGAGATATTCTTAGTTTTCATTGGGCCCCTATCTTCAGACTCTATGCATACGATAACAATTACATGATGTCCACTTCCCTGTGCTTCACACGATGAAAGTATCTTTAGGTTTATATGACAGGCAGGAGGTCAGTTTGAATTCTACTGGTTTGCCAGTTAATGTCTTTTTAAGTCGAGGCTGTTATTCCGATAACATGCATATTTGTCTTGGTCAACATTAACTTTTATTTCAAGCAATACACACAGTTATTTCATTATATGAAACGCCCAACACACGTTTACCGGGCTAAAGTTATTCATTGTAGTTTATTATGGTTATTTATTATTAGGTGTAATAATTCTATACTTTAATTATAGTTGACGATGTACAACATTATCAAAGTTGACCGTATATATCACTTCATTAGTATTCCATATGAAGCTGGAACATTAGAAGAAGATAATGAGTTGTATACTATGTTATAAAGTCACAGTGACAGCACAGACTATATCATATACCTTTAACAAGGAAAATGCCTTAAATATGTTGAGTTGTGAGTTTAGTCCCAGAACAAAGAGAATACATTACAATACGACTAAAGTGATTACCAAGGCTAGATTGTCTCTGCTCTGTGGGTATTGTTCTGCGCTCCATTTGATGTTTACTTTCTATCTTTAATGTTTATGCTTAAATAAGATAACTGTATTTCTTTTAGTCTGTTATTTGTGAGTTGTGACAACTTCAAGAGAGGACACGAAACACAATCTGACGATTTGTTGTATTCAGTTCAATGAATTTTCATAGAATTCAATTTCCGAAGTTACCTAACGACACTCTGACAGGTGAAAGATTAATAGGTTGTGGCAATAGCAGACTTAGAGTGTAACAGACTACAAATGCACGTGTGGAAGACGGGAAAGAGATATGATGCTCTTTCATTATCAATCAATTATAGGTATGGTAAACGCAAACGAAACAGACAGAAGACTTTTCAAGTATCATATCCCTAAGAATCTGTGAACTCCTGATTGTGGAATGTAACGGAGGAGGAAGACGACCATTATGTTGCCACCTGCTTCCTCATCTGAGTCGTATCTGTAATATCTCACAAACAGCGGTTCCAACTGTCACCCACAATAACAAACTCTTAATAGTTTCATGTAGAGGATTCAGAGATAGCAGTGAATGAACTACCTGCCATTGTTCACTGGCCAGGAGGGCTTCTTAGCAAAACATGGTGCAAGTCCTCGTCATATCTTACTTACCTACTTCCGATGAACTAAGAAATGAAAACAAAATGACAACATACTTTGACATTAAATGACGCCTTAATAAGTTGGTAATTCATAGAAGTATATATGTATTGACTATAATTTTCTTCTAGGCAGTCGGGCGTGCTTTACGAAAATGTTATTAGCCCAGTTTAAAAGTCTCTGGCATTTGGCAAGCGCGCAGACACCTATTTCAAACACAGAGTGACAGGTGACAATGTTCATATACAGTTGGGGGAGACTGATCCGTTGATAACGACATTGTTTTATCTACACCACGTCAAAACATTAATACAAAGAAGTGTTTAGGATTCTCAATTCTTTAAGTTTTGACTCAGAATTTAGCAACACCCGCCATAAAGCAATCTATGTATATTACCCGCCATGATGCAGTCTCAGACTATGTACATTACACGCCAGGACCACTCAGTGCCGGAGTATAGATACTGAAAACATATGTCAGCGTAATGTCAATGATAATTGATTTTAAAGACATGGGTGAAATATTTTATTAACTTCTTTGTCAATTTTTCATCGTGATAACATTGATTTCAGGGAACACACACACACACACACACGCACATATATATATATATATATATATATATATATATATATATATATATATATATATAAATAGTACAATGAGCAAAAACAACCTGGATATTGTTTTTTGTGTCCATAACCCCCAAATGGACAGAATTTTGATAAAAATAAAACATATTAATGGCTCCTGCACAGACGAACATCTAGTTTCTGAAATGAACATATCTTACAGAAAAAACAGTTGGTCAATGATCTTAATAAAATTACAATAAAAAGGAGCCCAGAGAGATTCTCTTTATTTTCAGATACTGCAGTAATCTAGACTTGACAAACGTTATAGACTTGCATGGGCTGTATTTGATATATTTGTATCAGGATCTGTAAACAGACAAGATCCAACATAACAATGACTGTTTTTCAGAGAAGTATGTGTATGTCACCATCGGGAACTTTGAAAGACGTCGAAATGGAAGTACAATGGATCATTTTCACATGGACAAAATGAAACCATTGCCCAAAGAATCCCTACGTAGAAAATATACATTAATAGTGAAAGCGTTTAACACTGTCTTATTTAGTTTTGTCAGGAAAATCAATCATGCCTATTAGAATATCTTCTAAAAGATATACATTTTTGGCTTTTTTTACATAAATACACTCCGGGAAACAATAAAATAGAACACAGGCAGTTTATTGTCAACTGAAGTTTGCCTCATACACATGAACAAGAAACGAAATGAAGGTTTATTGGAGATATGATTATATCAGCATATACGATAGGTTTTCCATGCACGCACCTTCTTTGAAGTCAGCTGAATGTAGTAGCTGCAAGGTAATGCAATATAAAGATCTCCGCATACCGCCATACTAACTCTTATATGCTTCAGATGTCGGAGAGGCGGTGTTTCATTATAACCACATGTTCTTTTAATTACACAACGTTTAATGTACAAATAAAGCCCAGTCATTTCATCAAATATGAGACATGCCGCCAGATGAAATATCGACCGGTTCTCTTTGATGTGTGGCGGTCAGTGTGAGACGTCCGCTGGATGACAAGGACGGGCTTATGTCTGCGCACCAACTTGTGGCTTGACAGCTGACGAGGTTGACAGCGTCTAGCTATGGCGTCAAAGACGACGGTTCAACAAGCTGACCGGAGAATATTGCTCTGCAGGACACGGAAAGGTCATAGTGGTCACCTTGACAGACCATGTGGTAAGCTTGACCGCACCATAATCACTAATTAATAGAAACTAATAATGCTCCTAATAGTAACGAACATGTGAAGTGCGCCATATCTATTCGCGAAACCCCAATAATAATAATAATAATAATAACCAAAACTCTCTTTGCTGCATTTTTTATTTTGATCTGTAAATAATATTAATAATGGTTTGCTAAACGTTGAATTGTTTTGTGCAATTTTGCACATATTTATTTGTCTGATGATCCTCTTGTGAAGCATGTCAAGACTCATGATCAAAACAAGGCATTCCACAGTTTACTTAAACGAGCCAAGGATGTGGGACAGAATCTCAATGTCAGTGTTGATTTTGTTTGTGGTTCACTACTGATGGACGGTACAGAAATGAGTGTGAACCAAGCGAAGGGACATATCAAATCGGCCCAGACTCCGTTTTTCAAGGAGAGGCTATTTGAACGACCACTGCATCGAGTTTTATGTGCAGTGTGTTGAGTAGAACTGCCCAGGACCAGTCACTTCCCACTCGAAACCGTCAATGTGTTATTTTGCATCAAAATGTGAATATGAAATGTAGATTATGTAATGAATTTAATGTCCAACACATTGTCAGTGGATGCCCAGCTGTGGCACAGACAGTATCTTAAGCGACATGATTGCGTGGCTCGATCATTATATTACCGTCTTCGCCATGCTTGTGGTTTTGACACAGAGGTCCATCCACAGTACGACCCGGAATATGCAGAGCGCGTCATGGAAAATGATAAATACAAAATCCTTTGGAATAGGCCCGTATACAGCCTCAGACGTATCCAGGCCAACAAACCTGATCTTGTCCTTTTTGATAAATCCAATGAAATCATTTAAATTATTGAATTTTCTGTCCCTTTCGACACCAATGTGATTGAGAAGATTGCGGAAAAACATGGCAAATATGCAGACCTCGCGTTCGAAATGTCAGACACGCTTGCATCCAAAGTACCAAGTTGTCCGACTCTCCATTGTTCTCGGTGCCTTAGGTTTGGTACCTCCCAATCTGTTGACTGGCATTGGGAGAGTACCCGGGTTTGCTACCAGGAATACAGCCCTTCTGACAATCTGGGTAATGCAGAAGGCTGCAGTGTTAGGGAGTCTTCACATTCTCCGAAAAGTTCTGGGTGGGTTTGACTAGGTAACGCTTCCTGGGAGAAGTCCCATTCTCTGTCTGGGCTGCGTGTGGAGGGGGCAAGGGCCCTGAGCTGATGATGAGCCTAACCAGTCTGACTGTGCCAGGATCACCCAAACCCTCTTTGCTGCATTTTTTATTTTAATTTGTAAATAAAAATAATAATAATAATAATAATTATAATGGCACCATATGGTAATGATAAAAATGACATTTCTGTATGTAAAATAATTTCTTTGTTCAATATCATAGATCAAGTGTTTAATACAAATTTGCTCATTTCAGAAGAATAATTGCAACACATGTGAAATAGTCGCCATCAAAAGCAAAGATTCTTTAATGTCAACCTCAACTTACTGTATGTAAACTGTAGAGTAAAAGAAACTATACTTCTCAGGTGATATCGTATGTTTGTTTTTAAATTGAAAATATCTTAACTTATCGATATTATTTGTGATTAAAGAC